CCCTGCGGCCCCCCCCCAGCCGCTCTTCCCCAAGCCTGCAATGTTGCACGGGGTAGTTGTGACTCGAGTTCAGGATCTGACTCTGCGCCTTGTTGAACCTCATATAATTGGCCTCAGCCCATTGATCCAGCCTGTCCAGGTCCCTCCCTAGAGCCTTCTTACTCTCAAACAGATCAACACTGCCACCCAACTTGGTGTCATCTCCAAACTTACTGAGGGTGCAATCTCCTCACCCACATCATTGTGAAGATACGAAGTTGAATTGGCCCCAACACTGAGCCCTGTGCAACAGCACCTGTGACTGGCCACCAGCTGGATTTAACTCCATTCACCACCACTCTTTGGGCCTGCCCATCCAGTCAGTTTTTTACCCAGCAAAGAGTGCACTCATGCAAGCCCTGAGGAGACCAGCTTCCCCAAGAGAATGCTGTGGAACATGCCTACTTCAGCATACCTCCTTAATTTTCCTCCTCAGTTATGCTTTCCAAGTGCATACAACTAATGGAAAAAATGTATGCAAATCTAGCATGTCTCTTATGGGTTTGAACATTGCAAGGCTTGATGACTTCTTAGATCACCTATGGAACACACTTTCTTCCTCCTTTATTAAAAAAAAAATAACTCCTGCATAGAAAAGAAAACATTAGAAAGGAAATATGTCATATGTTTAATTAAAACAAAGACTGAGAGTTTAGGCATAAAAATATTTCAGTCAACATATATGTATTGACAGCATAACTTTATGTGAAGATGCTGCCTGGTGTGGAATATTGAACATGACAATTCAGGGAAGTCTACCAAAAAATGAAAGGATAGATTTTTAAGAATTCAGTCAGAATTCTGTTCTGCCTGCCTACAATAATGACAAATTTGGTATTTTAATCTTCAAGTAAAAAGAGTTAACATTTTAAAACATACAACACAAAACAAGGTATGTTTCTAAGATTGACTAAGCAAAGTGTATTATCAAGTTTGGATGGTTTTTTAACTGCAAATACTAAAGCCAGTGACAAAGTTAAGCAACTCATACGGAACCCACATGATGGCACAAAGAGTGCAATGTAGATTTAAACAGAAGGCAACACGTGTCAAAAGGTTCTTCTTACTCTGTGACTCAGGGTCACGATTCTTCCTCTGAATACAAATTCCTCTGAGTACAAATTTTGGAGATAAACAATTCTCCCTTAAAAACCTAAATCTTTTAAAATCCTGCAAAAGCAGGCAACCTCTTCAACTATGGTAGCATTTCTCAGTCACTGAAATGGAATTATTCTTCATTTATCCCAGTATAAGAGAGAGGAGAGCAAAACTCCATGTATTTTAAAGATTAAGTATTTGGTATTTTCTTTAATGTGTAATATTTCCCACTATCTACATTTACTAAGTAATGCCTGGAATGAGCTGTTCTTTGATGCTAATGAAGCATTCAATGAAGGATTTGTCTTTGTGGGATATACCAAGAATCAGCTCTGAAATATCCTGCTCTCTCCTGCATCAGCCTGAGCTCTATTTGTACACTGCTACTGTGATGGTTGTAGTCTCCAATTCTCATTCTCTCCTCCTAAGTGTAAAGCCTAAATGAAATTACACGTTGATGCGAGACACAAGTACACAGTCTTTGCAACTCAGTCCCCAAACTTCTTAAATGAGGAATGCAAGCCTAGTTTTCCATTTAATCAAAGTGGTTTTATCTTAATTACCTTAATGACACTGATACTTGGATATGCATTCAACACAATGAAGTGGCAAATCTGTCCCAGAATTGAGAGCATACCATGAATATCCATTCTCATTTTGATTTGCTAGTGTCTGCTAAAAATGGTGCAATCCATAGGTCACAAAATCTCTGCACAATGATCACTCAATGTTTATACTTAATTCTTTCCCTGTTTCCTCATTTTTTGTTACTGAAAACACATAGGGGATTTCTGGTTATGTGAATCTTTGATGTGGAATATGCAGTACTGTTCTTTTCTTCATTCATTGGGAGTCATGTGGAAGATGCAGTGCATGCCTAGAACTACTTCAAATTACAGTCACAAAGTCAGGACAACCAAAGCCTCAAATTAACTCACACTTATGACCTTGGAGGAGAACTAGAGGTGGGAGGTATATTTTGTCTCTCCTATTGCTTTATTTTATCTAGAATTCTTGTGCCTTGGCAACAGCAAAAAAAAAAGTAATTAGAAAATGTGTCACCCTGATGTCTGTGTGTGTAAAGCAAATGCTGCGGTAGCTGTACTTGCCAAGTCATGTTTCAAAATTAGCCACCATGACTGACTATATTTTGCTAAATAGAAGTAAAAACTTTCACAAGGAAGGAAGTACAAAGAAGTTACAGTACCTTGTGGTGTGCTACATCTTCCTACTCTGACATCTATATCTCTCATCTTGACAAGGAACTACAGGATCAGATTTGCCTAGAGGGCCAGGCGCACTGTCTCTTAGAAGAACTAGGAACAAGCAGTTGTTACATATTCCCTGTGAGAATGGCCTGCCAAATGAAATATGCTTTACAAGGATAATGTACACTGTCATGGAAGATATTGAGATCCCTGTTCTATACCAAGTAGCTAAAGACTTTCTGGTGCTTTCCCAATTCCTGGTACAGCAGAGTAAGTCTTTGACATGTCTTGCAGTACTAGCATGCAGTGCTGGCTCAACTTTCCGTCCTACCTCCAAAACCTATTCTGCCTCCATGAATAACATGGGAAGAACATGCATGGAAGCCACAATTTCATGTAACTCCCCAGTACCCTGCTCTCTTCATATATTTTGTAGTGATATATTTTGGCTGTTGCTGGACCTATGGTATGTGTTTACAAGCCAAAAAAATGTTCAGCTTGGGCCAACAGAAAACCAGACTACACTGTCCTCTGAAATGTACCTCACCAGACCTGCATATGAAGATCTTAAGCCTGCCTCTCAATGACCTTCCACACCCTGGCTCTCTATTTTAGAGATTGCCTCCAGAAGTTACAGCTTTTGTTGTCATGTTTACATTATCTGGGAAGGTGGATTTTAAAACATCCTCTATATGGTAGGTTTGCCAAAACAGGCAGTTTGTGCTCATGAAATGCCTTTGGAAAGCTAAGGAGAAAAAAATCTAAACCTTTGGCAGATATTGTAATCCACCTTTCTGCAGTTTGCAACATGTATGGTGCCATTAAAAGATCAAGAGCCAGAAGCATGCTAGGATTACAAAAAATTATTATTAAAACAAGCAAACAAACAAACAAAAACAGAGTAAGCTGTAGTGGAGCTACATGAAAAATACCATGTTTCTGTCACAGTGAAAACCACGGGCAAGGAAAAGGAAGACCTGAAATCCTTGGTGCTGTTTACATCAGTCCACACTGGAGGACAGAGCTTCAGCAGGTCTTACTGTTTTGGTGCACTCATAAAGCGTTCAGGCTCTTTTAACAGTTTGTGTTCACTCTGAGTTGTTGTAATACTTTATTTGCAGATTTGTTTGAATGTATTCTTCATGTATGTCAGTTAAAAGATGTGTACTACTGATCTCTTGTAGAAATGCGTTGCCCAATCCTCCAGAAACCAGCAGGTGTTACAGTTCTCCCTCTCAACTGTGGGCTGGAGCCTGCTGTTTCTGGGACCATGTGCCAGCTCAGCTGTCCCCAGGGATTCGTATTGGTTGGAACTACAGAAGAACTAAGGTGCCTTTCACTTGGGAGATGGAGTGCAGACATCCAGGAGGCTCTGTGTAAAGGTAGAAACGGCACAAAATCTTTTCTGTGTACATGTGTTCAGGACTGAAGGGAAGCACATGGCTGAGTGAGGACAGATTTGAACTGGGGAAATAATGATTTAAAACTGTCTGTAAGAAGTGCTGCCTGGACCATTGTAGCTTGGCCACCAGATTTACCTGTAGTTCATAATGAAAATGTGGAGAAAATGTGTTGCTTGAGTGCTATCTTATAGTGCTCATCATCAGCTGGCTCTCCTGTGGTCCATCTCACTAGTGTTGCTGGGAAGGGGCCTGCTAAAAGGCCTGATGTGTAGGTAAATTTGAAATTTTGAAGTAGAAGTGAAATCTTTTAGCTTAAAGGTGATCAAAGTAGAACCCACAGCTTTAGTAAAACAGCAATGATAATACTACTATTACTGGTTTAGCAAGTTTATGTAAGCCCTAAAGTCAGAGTCTGTGTAAACACTTGTGTAGACAGTGGCTGATAGGCAGACCGTAGAGGACTGGCTTGTTTCATTTATCTATGAACTGACTGTGGCTGCTGACATGCTCCAAGCAACAGTGCACAGGAGTGAAGGCCAAAATTGTCTGGCACAAGTGCAGAGAGTATAAAGATGGGCAAAAGATTATTATATGCCTTTGAGTATGGTTCTGCCATATTTACCCACCTCTTCTAGAAGCATTATTTATTCCCTTACACACATGCACACTGAGTTGGAAGGAGTTTGGATTATAGGAGGATACAAACAGAAGGGCAGTTCCTCTTGGAATATGCTGTTCACCTCTTCATGAATTATTGTCCTTCTAGAACTTATGCTTCCACCCCAAGCTGGGGTTCTCGCCAGCTACTGACTGAAAGAACAGTACAGAAAATAGTTACGGCAGTAACCATGCCAGGTCACTTTCAGAAACTGAGGTGGGAACTTTCATCTCTAAAATGGCCAGGAAGATTTTATGTGTTTCTTTAAACATATTATTTCCCCCTCTGTGGTGTGCCATATTGTTTTTCTGAATCTTTGTGCATAAACCTGCGCCAAACCACAGTTTTTAATATTTGATGGGATCCCAGCACAAGGCTACAAGCTAAAGTGTTTGGATCAAGATAAATCAGCATGGCTTGAGTTCAAACTTTTAGATATTACCAGTGCATAAAATCCTAAAATAGGAGGCACCAAGAAACTCTGAAGATCATTCTTCTCTAGCAAAAATGAACAGTTGCATTTCAATTGCTTTCATTGTGGTTATTGTCTCTATTTTGCTGCCAACATATTTGGCCAGTTCAAAATAGCCATTTTCTTTCTGACTTATTTATTATTCTTTTTTACAGAGTTTCACTTTTAAATGGAATTTACCCCAGTCTGAAGGCTGTGGTCAGGGAAATGTGAACCATAACTGGTAGTTGTTTAGAAGTGTGCATTTCCAACAAAATTTTCATCAGAATGAGTTCAGAGAAAGGCAAAAAAAAATATTGCTTTGCACTATTAATTATAGAGGTTTAATTGCCTGAGTTATGTCTTTACTGGAACTGTTTAGTAATAAAAATATAAGTGATATCAGTTCTGAGTTGTTTTAGAGCCTCCTGGGCACAGATGCGTTCAGAGCAGAAAGCTGTTGTCCTTGTCTCATAAGTCTAGAGAACATTTATCAAACAACACTACAGCAATAATATGACCTGACTACAAATGTTCTGGGAGGCCCTGTGCCAGGGAAATGAAGAAGTACTTTAGGTTTGTCAGGGAAACTTGAGGCTTTAATGGTGGTGGTGATGTTACCCATATTGTACTACCAGTCCATTGAAACCATCCAGCATTGTCACATATGTCACAGAAAGACTCCATTTGACCTACATAATGCCTCGTAGCAGGAATTTATTAATGGAATGTTTCCAGCAGCTGGTGCCAGAAATCTTGCTTTTCTTTTTTTTTTTCAAGTTGGTTCCACACAATTCTCTGGGGAATATGAGCATCACTACTGTCTCATTGGTAGTACCTATTTAATGCCACAAATACTTTTTTTTTTTTTTTTAAGTCACTGATTATCAGAAACAAATGTTAACATCTGTATTTGTTATGTGTGTGGGCAGTGAAAGGATAGAGAAGCCAGCCATTCCTTCTTAGTGAGTATATATGTGTAGCAAATGGATGAATAATAAAAGAAACAAGTTCACTCTGTCTATTTATTTCTTTTTTCTATAGTTATATGTAGAATCCAGAGCCTCATTGTGCTGTGATGTACAAAAAAACAGCACAAAATAGTCCTTTCCCCAAGAGAACTTACTGTTTATATATGAGCCCATGGGCAAGAATTAAAAATGGGCAGATACAGGAAGTTTACAAAAATACATGCTTTTATATTCGAGGCAGCACAAAAAACTGGTTGTAACAAGTTGCAGTCTAACTATTACAGAGGTTTTATTTCTGTAATCCCACATACAAAACTAGTTTGTCTTTTTCTGGATCAGATATTGAAGCTCCTCGGATCCACTGTCCAGAAAATATTGAGACTGAGACTCTGGAACATCATAACTCTGCTAATATCAGCTGGCAGGTGCCAACAGCTGAGGATAACTCTGGAGATGAGGCAAGTTAAAATCTATATGTTTGACTGGAGGCAGTCTTTCTATAGCTAGCAATTTTAAATTTATTTTTGAACCACTAGAACAACATCTGATAAGCAGGATTAGAAGAAAACTCTACTGAAAAGTTTGTATCTTGAGAATTCAGCATTTTCTTGCTTAGTTAGGGTTATGTGGTCACAGGCCACTGCAGTGTTTAAGTGCATAAAATCTCAATATGGTTAATTTATGTGGTCAAAAGAAAGAATGTACCCTTGTTTATAAGACGGACACAGCTGCTTTAGAATGTGAAGAAGTTTAATAAACTCTTCTCAGAAGGAAGTAAACGAGTTCATTAATCTAAAAGGCTAACAAGAACATGTGATAAGTAAGAGCGCGTTTCAGCTTCCCAGGTGAGCCATCCCATACAAGGTTCAGATGTGGGTGTTTTGCTATCACGAGTATCAGAGATCTGGAAGTGGAGTTAGAAAGAAAACTTGCTCCAGAGCTGTTTCACAAAGAGTAACAAACATTCCCTACTGGCTCAGAAGTGATCAAGTTACAGCAGCAGAGTGCTTTACCATGAGTCAGCAGAGGAGCAGTGACTCTTGAGTGTGATTTTAATTTGCTACAAACGCAGGAGTTTTTTGTGCTTTGAAACTGTGAGTTGTCCCAGTAAAAGAGGTTTTAAGTTCACACTTTTTTTTTGCTGTAGCATGGCCATGGTCAGGTACTGTACCTCTGCTGACACAGGTCCTTCATTGAACTATAGAAAACAAGTGCCTTAGCTGTTCTTTTGCAGGAAAGTTCCTTAAGACAGTTCTAACCTATGTGAAAGAGCTGTAGACAGCACTTAAGTGTCATTTGCTTCTAATACAGGGTTCCTTTGCCATGCCACAATATTTTGAAGCATCTGTGGGCTATTGACTCATAAATATAGGCAGATTAAAACTGGATATGTTAGTACTTACAGCCCACCACTGTCTGCCCCATTTGTCTCTCAGGGCTGTTGCACTTGCAGCTGGAGAACTGAGCTGCAGACAAAGCAGGTTCTCAGCTGACATATGGTGTGCTCAGTGCAGTCAGGCAGGCAAAAGTCAGTCTTGAATTGTTTTAATGCACAGGGCTGTAAACTGCAGCAGGTCAGCATCCAAGTCCTAACTGAGTAACTCCCTGTTGCTATAAAGAAGGCAGCCTTGAGAAGGGGAGCAGAGCAGTCAGTTGCAGTCTACCTTTGTTACTCAAAGAGGCTATTTTCACTAAGAATGAGTAGGCTTGACATTGGATAAAAATATTTTGTGAGCATTTCTTGAAACATGAGTGTCATGATTATTAATGAGCTTTGTTTTCTGAATAACAATTGTTTTCCTATAAAAGGTCTCAGTTCACGTTACCCCAGCTTTCATACCACCATTTCTTCTCCCAATTGGTGAAGTTGCCATTACTTACACAGCAGCTGATAAGTCAGGCAATGAGGCAAGCTGTACGTTCAGTGTCAAGGTTATTGGTAAGTGCTGGTAAAAATAACCGGGGGAGAGTTTGTCTTGATTGAAACCTTTACATTTTGTGCACAAAGATATTGTGAGTCACTGTGACCTTAATGTGTACAGATATAAGCCCAGGAATAATATAATCTCTGTAAATTCTTTGCTGATCTTGGGTCACAGTTTGCATAGCACACAGTCAGTGCTCCCAAATATTCAGTTTTGGTTGTGTTTTGTTCTGTTGTTCATTCTGAAAGTTAAGATTTTTTCCTTATGCTGGCAGACAGAATACTTTAATGTGTTGTCACATACTACCTTCATCATATATAGTATTTTTTTTCTTCTTGAAAGACTCCAGCAAAATTTGCAAGGTTCTCACACACTGCTGATGCAAATAATTGTTCATCTATTTCTGTGAGATGGTATTCAACACTTCTGTTAAACAACGTTTGCTGTCTAGGAAGCAAACAAAATGCAGAAAACATGAGTTCAGCAGAAGAATTAAGTCTTGTCCATTCCCTTAGCATCTACCAGTTGTAGCACCTTACAAGTGTACACCCAATTTTATTGTACCTTCAGATGTGAACTGAAAACTTCTGTTTACCTCACTTCTTCTGTTTATAGATTTCATTTGAGTGTAGAGGTGTTTCAGTAAGCTAATGTCATGCCATGCCTTCAAATTCTGCAGATACAGAAGCTCCTGTAATTGACAGATGCAGATCTCCACCACCCATACAAGCAGCAGGGAATGAGACCCCAGTGATGTGGGAGGAACCACAATTTTCAGATAATTCAGGTGAGATAGTGCACCCAAAAACATCCATCAACAGTGGAAGGCCGGGAGACTCCAGTCTGTTCACTTTTGATCCCTTAGAGTTTAAGGTTTTTTGGAGGTGTTTATTACTTATTTATTTTTAAGAACGCATAATTTGGAAGACATTCTACCACTGTCCCTCTCCATTTGTTGAGGTTGGGTGTTAGCAACCCTCTTTTAGTAACTGATGTTCTAGGTTGTCTTTTAACTCTTCTAGGTGCTCCACTGACTGTCACCAGCAGTCATGCATCTGGAGATCTCTTTCCCAAAGGAGACACAACAGTTCAATACTTAGCCATAGATCCCTCTGGCAATAACAGGACATGTGAGATCCACGTTGTCATTAAAGGTTTGTTGTCTTATTATTTTGGTCAAGACTGTATGTCGATTGTTTTGACTGCATATCATAAAGGATACAATGGTATTCCACTTTTTCATTTAGTCTCCACTTTTTTCTTTTAGTTACTCCCATTTCATATTGCCGGAACTTCAAGGCAGTCAAGATACTTGTTAGTTACCAGCGCATCAATTGTCTTAGGACTGAAGCAGCACAGCAATGAATTTGATCTTATAAACTCAAGTTTAGGTATAAAAGTAATGAGGTTATGACTCTTTACGTAGTAAAACTTAGGGTAATTGATCCTTTTTTTTTTTCTCAATGACAGATACAATTTGAAATTTATTAAAAGCTATTATTGAAGTGTTACTTCAAATCTGTAGTTAAAAAGCAAAACTGTACAGAAGTGTTTCTATGATCACCTACAAATATTGTAGCAGATACCAGAACACTCTTCACTCTTTAGGAGCTGTCCATACTTAAAGATATACTGGTGGATTTGTGTTTATAGTGTAGACATGAACTCCCCACAGTTTACTTCCTTCTTGAAAGGCAAAACAATAATTTGGCAGATAATGTATTAAAGATTAAAATTCTACTTCATCATATGTCTCAGTGGTACATCTGTATAAAAAAATGTTAATTAAGAGAGAATTTAAAATCATGTTGACTGGAATTTTAGAAAAGGAAAGCTGTAAATGGATGTGCTAATTTCTGATTTGCTGTAGATCTTAACCAGAACAAGCCAGTGCCTAGAATTGGCATTATTTCAAGCTCTACACCACCTCAGACTTCTTGTAGTTCAGTGCTTGTGACGTAATTTCTCTGACATTCACAATCTCCTTTACAATTGGCCTGTAAAATAGTTCATAACTGAGGCTGTGCTGTTAGTCCATCCTTAGGTAATTCTGGCAAGCTCAAGTCTTGTTGCAATAGTGCAGAATGGGTAATGTTTAGTTTCAGAATTCAGGATGTATACATTTTGCTATAATTCATTGTATGAAAGTTCATCTAAAAATTTAGATTAATATTTTATATTATTTTAGTAAGTACATGCTTGAGCATGCACGTCGAATAAGTACAGAAGGGTTAGGTCTTGCTTTTCTGAGTTTTTTAATTTCTCATATAGATTACAATTTTTTTAAGTCTTCACTTTTCTTGATTTCAAACTCCAGTGGCAGAGTTTGAGCATAATTTAGCAGTAGCCTGATCGTGCTGTTATGGAAGTAGCAAATCATTCTTCCACAGACTTGCCACAGAGACAAGATCAGGTTGATACCAGGTACTCCAGGAATCCTATAATTTATGTTTTCCTGTGTGCTTACCTACTTCATCACATTCAACAATATATAAATCTTCATTTTGTTCTTAGGTTCCCCCTGTGAGATATCCTTTGAGCCTGTGAATGGTGATTTTACATGCAAATCAGATGAAGTGGGACTTAATTGCACATTGCAGTGTGCAGAAGGGTACAGCTTTTCAGAAGGATCAAGTGAAAACTACTATTGTGCATATGAGGATGGTGTCTGGAAGCCGCCTTATTCTCCAGAGCAGCCTAGCTGCTCTTGTAAGTCTGACTGTTATTAAAATGGGTCTGCAACTCATACAACACTGTGATTAACAATGCAGTAAATACAAATATTTTAGAAATTATTACTTAATGATAAAAAACCTTCTTCTTGTGTCTCGGAATTGTTAAAAATATTGTGAAAGAAAGTTTGAAAGTCCCTACGTGTTGCTTCAAAAGCTGTCTAAAGCACAAAAATAGTAATTAACTGGAATTCTAGGAATCACACCATAGCAAAGATGACAAAGTAGACAGAGTCTGTCTATGAACTGGTATTTGAACAGCTTTCTACAGACACTAAGAATGTGTTTTCAATGGGAGTTTCAGCAATACTTGCAACTTACTGGTCCAAACGTACACTGATCTAGTTATCACCAAATCAGAAGTGTGTATGTACTTTTCTTTGAGATCAGCACATGCAAAACTTCAGCTGTGGAATCTCCCCACTTTGGGTACATTTTAATAAAAAATGTATTAGAGCTAGATATGAAGCCAGTCTTTGCACCAGGTTATAGAATCACAGAATCATAGAATGCTTAAGTCAGGAAGGGACCTTTAAGATCATCAGGTTCCAAACTCCCTGCTATGAGCAGGAACACCTCCTACTAGACCAGGCTGCACAAAGTCTCATCCAACCTGGCTTTAAACACCTCCAGGGAGGGGACTTCCACAACCTCCCTAGGCAACCTATTCCACCTTACTACCCTCATGGTGAAGAATTTCTTCCTGATGTCTAACCTAAATCTAACGTCTTCCATTAAGAAACTGCTAAAATAGATACATGGAAAACCTTTTTAAAATACCTGTTAGCTTCCCCAAAAAAATCCTGTCAAAGGGTGATATTCAACTGCATTGGCATTCATTTTCATGTACACAGCCCTGGGAATTTACATTGCTGATTTAAAGATAATGCTTCTTAGCTTAATGCATTCCAGTTTTAGCCTTAATAGTCTTGCTTTTAGCTCTGAAATTCTTGCACTGACCAGTAAAAATTTGTTTCTCCAACATTTTTCAGTAAATCGTTTTGCAAACCATGGGTTCAAATCCTTTGAGATGCTCTACAAAGCAACACGATGTGATGACAACAATCTTCTAAATAGCTTTACTGATGCATTCCAGAGTGCGCTTGGTAAAATGGTAGGTTAGTAAATATTCCTTTCTTTAACGTATTTTAAAACGTAGCTAGTTGTTACTTTTCCTGTCTAACTAATTTCATACAAGGAGAATACAACAGAAACATGGAAATAGAATTTCTGCTTTTTCAGAAGATGACACGTCTCCTTTAAAAATTAAGATTATTCACTAGCATTTTAATGTCCTTCAGTTTAGTCTTCAATGTGAAATTCTATAGGACAGAATTATAGAAATGTCCAAGTAACTTAGAAACCTGTCTCTCCTAGATTTTCAGTAGGCAAACTGAACCTGTGCAGTTTTGAAAAGCTCGGTCAGTTGTCCCCTAGCCTCAGTGTTGTTTTGAAAGTTGAGTGTGATTATAAAATGTATATATGTTATAGACAATATGCAACACATATTTGCATACAATATAAACTGATATACATATATACAAATAGATAAGTCCCACATTTGATGCCTAAGTCCAGGCACTTAAATCCAGTAGTAGTGATTTAAATAACTTGCTCAGTTTTCCTGAGTTTCTTGCATTTCTGAGTTCTCACTCTTATCAGTAAGAACTGCATGGCACTAAATTTGAAGGGGGGGCATGCTCCTTCTCTACCGTGTCTCTTGCTTTCCACTTCAGTATCACAGTTTACCCTGTTCTGCCTTGCTTCAGGTTTGTTCTCTTCCAGTAGAGAAATCTTGACTTGCTTCATTTCTATTCCTTTTTCCTAAGAACCAGCTACCACTGGGTTCTAGTGCTTAAACCATTACTATGACGAAACAAAGTAGAAGGCAAAAATAGTGACCTGCCCAAGCAATTGGATCAAAACACAACAATCTGAAAAAAAAACAAGAAAAAGTAAAAATATACTTATTCCTACTCCAAGAAATTGTAGCAGAGATCTGAAAAGGCAGAAGGAATCAGCAGCATCCATATTTTTAATGAAAATTGATACAGAAAAAGCAAAACAATTCCAAAACATGACCTAGAGACCAACTTGTCCGAAACCTTTCTGGAAAAAGTAAAAAGTACAGATTGTATAAAAAATCATGCATTCATCTGTTCCTGTCTAATCTCCAGTGCTTTTTTTGGAGAGAAGGAATCAACAATACCTGAAAGGTTTCTGTCAAGTTTTCTGTTATGTGGTTTCTGTCCTTCTCAGATGATGTTCCCTGTCCTCTGAGGTCTCTTGGTGGAATACCTGAGTCCCTTTCCATGGGTAGGTAGAGGTGGATATGAAGAACTAAGGTTTGGAAGCTAAGAGCCTTGTTGTAAACATGACAAAATTCCATGTTACATAGCTGGAAGAAAACAGATTTTTTTTCAAATGTGTGAGCTTTCCTGTCATCTACTGCAGGGAGAAACAAGTCTGAATTTATTTCTGTGTTTCGGGATCTCACATGCAAGAGCTGTTAACTGAGCAGACATCTTCTCTTACAAAAAAGATTTTCTGTAACAAAGTGTGTATGCCTACGAGTTGCCCTCTTATTTGCTGGCTGTATCAATAAAATATACTTCTTCCAGCAGACATTGCCAGGGTTGTAAGAGATACGAAAGGGAAAAATTCAGTGTCATTGGCAGAACCAGTGCTTTGCTTTCTAACTGGAAGTTCTTGGAAGTCAAGGGAGTGAAGCTATGTGTGTTTATTTTTTAATGTTATTCTTCTTTATGTTGGAAGGTCCCATCATTCTGTAATGATGTTGATGATATTGACTGCAGATTGGAAGATCAGACACAGAAACATTGCTTGGAATATAATTACGATTATGAAAATGGATTTGCCATTGGTAATTATCGGTTGCATAGATTCTTAGCCATCTATGTTTAATGCAGCATAATTCTTTTTGTACTGAAGTGCACCACATGTTATGTAAGATATTTTTTTTTAATAACTGTAGAGGTCTTAAGATACTAAGCAATTACATAATAGGTTGTATATTATGGATGCATGTTACAGAGTTGTTTGCTGTTCAGTTTTGATACTACTTCATATATAGTGTAGAGGAAAAGCTTACTGAGGTGCCTCAGGATGAGGAGAAAAAAAGCACACACACACAGAATCATACAAACCTGCTTGGTTAGCCTGGAAGAAAGCAACTTTTTAAAAACACATCATTTCAAACCAAAATACTGAAAAAGTACAATAGGTAGTTCTGGAGATTGTTAGGAAAATAAGGTGAATCCTTGATGCTGTTTCAGATAAAGACAGACCCCTCACAGTGCAAAGCCATATGAACAGAGTTTGCCCGTTAGCTGTGAAATGACTGCCTGTATGCAAGGGCAGATGCTGAAGGATCACTGTAGCTGTATCAGAGTGAAAGCTTTGACAGTCCTAGTGATTGTTTGCACTCTGTTTTATGCCAAGTAAGTTGTCATCTTCCATCCATTTTCGAACAGGTTAGTGTCCATGTTGTACTGCTGCTGTCCTTGGCATTTCTGAGTCCCATGGGGGTGCTCAGCACAAAGGCTAACCACAGGTAACTTACATTGCCCATCTTAGCAGGAGAGATTTTGGTAGATCAACATTTGAATGCATACTCTGTCATAGGACTGTGGCTCTTTCATAGATTTATAGTGGAGTTATTTGGTAGAGCTTTCTGCTTATTCTCACCATTCAGACATGCTTCACTGAGTTGGAGAGCACATTTGTGTGTAATCAGACACAGTGGGACTGGGTGTTCAGTTTGCAGTTGTCATCCAGGATAAGGATGAATATTGATGACAGCTGGAGCTAACTTGTAAAGGCACTTGGAGCAAACAGTGTTGAGAACACAGGAACATCTGGTTTGTGTCAGCCTCTTATCAGAATAATCTTGTTGCTGTTTTTCTGGAACTGCTCATGATTTTACACTGGTGGGGCAGGAAAGAACTCTCTGGGTCATATGAGACAGCAGTTTTGAAAATTATTTGTGGAACACTCACACGGTGTTAACTGTAAAGCTGTTGGGTTAGCTTATCCTAGTTTTCACTGTAAATGAAGTATAATCCAGGTGACTGCTTACAGGTAATTGGCAGATTTTATCTTCATGTGTTTTTTTTTAAAAAGAGCTAGATCAATGAAATAGACCATGGCCTTCTAGATTTAGTCATTATGAAAAGGTAGATCATGTACAGCAACAATTGTTTCTGGTTCAAAGAATGGCAGAAGTGAAGGGTATTGCACAGGGGGTGAATTTAACTCACTGTGTGTAATAGGAGATGCCTGTCTGTGGAGGGCAAATACAAAAGGTAATGCTACCAGCCTTTTCTGAGAGGACAATGGTAGAACTATAGGAGGTGTGAGAAGATGCAAGACATGTGGCATAGGCCTTGCTGCTTGTAATTGGGTAGAAAGAGGAAGAGAGATCAATATGGAATTGTTTAAGAAGTTGTAACTGGCAAATAAAGAGTCCTTGCAAAGCAGAGCAAGAGAAAGAATTGCAATCTGTACCTTCTATAGCAGTATTTCTTTAAAGCTTTGGCTAACTGTGCAAGATTAAGGATCTCTAGGATACCAGTTGGGATTGAGGCTGTTTTTTTCTTTTTCTCTAGTCAAAATGCTGCTACAATAGACACTTCAGTGGAGACAAAGCCAACACGCATCATCTAGCACTTCAAACAAATTCAATTCTATTGAGGCTACGTTTTAGAAATAAGTACAGGCACTTGATTTTCTACATGATGTTGCTTCTCTTTTTTCGCTTTCTTAATGCCTCGCAGGACCTGCTGGCTGGGGTGCAAGGAACCAGCTGGATTATTCCTATGATGATTTTGTTGATGTAGCACAAGAAGATGACTTATCCAAGCATCTCTCTGCCTCTGTAAAGGCTGCACCTGCTCGAGTCAAAAGGCATAAGATGAATGTTCCAATGACTGACCACAAAATAAAGTTAATATTTAACATCACAGGTGAGAGAAGTCAAAATGTCATCCTTCTCCTGTTCCTTCTTTTTTAAAGACGTAGTTCTCATACATTCAGTAAAACTTAGCCTTCAGTTCACAAAGCCTGCTGGAGATGCCTGTGACAGTTTCTGAAGACACTGAGAGCCCTATTTCATCACAGACTTTCTTCCTGGGGAGAAAGATCTCAGCCTCCTGTCCGTGGAGGGCATTGTGCATATGGCCTACTTTCCACTGGCAGGTTTGGCTGTAGCACTCTTGATGTACTCCAGAGAACACTGGAAGTGCTGACTGTAAAATTTGTGTACTTTTTGTGTTTTCTGTTTATATCCCAGCTAGCGTGCCACTGCCTGATGAGAGGAATGATACATTGGAACTGGAAAACCAGCGACGGCTCCTTAAAACTCTGGAGATGATCACAAACAGGCTGAATAGGACTCTCAATAAGGACCCCATGTATTCTTTTCAGTTTGCATCTGAACTCATTGTAGCTGATGGCAACTCACTGGAGACTGAAAAGGCCTTTCTTTTCTGCAGGCCTGGTTCTGTGCTGAGGGGAAGAATGTGTGGTAAGCCAGATTACTGCTGCTTACATGTATTTAGAATCCTTCTGAAAAGCAATCTTCAGATTACACAAAATTTAGACAATCTTTGCAGAGAGTTATGGTTTGACACAGTCCAGTGCTTGTGGTCTCCCAGAACAATAAACTGCAAAAACACTTTGTGCGGTTTGACTTCCAGAGAATGTTTATGTTCCTAACCGAGGCCTGTGAAAAAAGGACACTTTTGTATCCAGGATTCCACTCCCATGGGGAAATAAGGCATATCCATGCTTGGTGATACACAGGAAAACAGTGCATGGTATGCAGTCTTTTAACCCTAATAGTCTTGTGAGTGATGTGTAGCTAAGACAGGAAATTGTATTGCATTTCCTTTGTGTACTAAGACCTTTGCAATGCTCCGGAGAGATACTCCCTTTGCTCAGGAACAGTCACATTTCATAAAACCAGAGTTTGGCTAAATGGGATCTCCAGAGGCAAGACAAGTATGTGTATCTATTCTGAAGGAATCCTTATGTTTTATACATTACAGTCAACTGCCCTGTGGGAACCTATTACTCCCTGGAGCATCATACCTGTGAAAGCTGCTGGACTGGATCCTACCAAGATGAAGAAGGGCAGCTGGAATGCAAAAGCTGTCCATCTGGTAGCTATACAGAGTATCTACACTCTAGGAGCATCTCTGAATGCAAAGGTGAGAACTTTGTCTTCCTCAGGCGCTAACCTCCGAATGCCTGGTGGCAGCATCTTGGTCCCCATTGTGGAAGTATGGGAATGAATTTAGCCTGTCAGATGAGGAGCAGCTCTAGCTGCCCCTTGATGCATAGGTAAAGAGGAAAGCCGGGCTTTCACCAGTACTGTGGCATGCAGGATGCCTAGGCAGATGCTTTAAGAAGAGCTGGCCTTTGAAGCTTTGTTAATTTCTGTCTTCACTCTGTGAGATTGTGTGCCCATTTTCCAGACTAATACACCTGTGATAATGCCGTTCTTGTCCTTGCCAGACCCTCCCCATCCTACGGTAATTGAGGGTGGAATGTCAGCACTCTGCACTACAGTGCTCTGGCACTGTGCACCACAGCACCACTATTTCTTTGTGGCTTGTTCTGAAAAAGAAGCTGTTAGCTTCATTTCCTGTCTGTTGTCATACCATTTTGTTGATTAAAAAGCAGTAATTGAGTTGCAGTAAATCACGTGTGAATCTGAATGGGAGAGAATTAACTGGTTAAGATTTCACAAATGGCTGTCTGTAACTTAGCACAGTTCCTTTTTTTTTCCTCTTTGTACCTATGAAGTCCTTCTGAGTAAACTCTAGAAGTCCCTGTGATATATATTGTGATTTTAGCATTATTTTCAGAGGTTAGGAGCCATGTTTCCTCTTGAACATTGCTTAATCTTTATGAATTCTTCTGCCTCAGCTCAGTGCAAGCAAGGAACGTATTCACGAAATGGTCTTGAGACCTGTGAAACCTGTCCACTTGGCACATACCAGCCAACATTTGGATCCAGGAATTGCATCTCTTGCCCAGAAAATACATCAACTGTAAAAAGAGGTGCAGTGGATGTCTCAGCTTGTGGAGGTTTGTAAGAAAATAGGCTATGAAATTTTAAAAATTAAATTCTAAAAATTTCTAAGTGTTGTTTAAACATCCACTAATGTAATTCAATTCATCTGCCTAAGATTGAAAACCCCTGCTGATTAAGTGACAGGTAACTTTCCAATAGCAGGATTGTTTCAAGTGCTCTCTTTCTGATTTTCCAGATGGATTCTTATCTAAAGATGACTAAAATGAGATATGGTTTGATACCTACATGAAAATAAAAGCTTTTACCTTGCAGAAGAGAAAGGCAATGACTGGGTGTTTGACACAAACTGTAATAGCATCCAGATCTTCTATAAAAATACTGAATTTTTACACAATTTATTCCCTAAAATTTTTCAAGAAATTGGCCTCTGTCAATTGCCCATCCCAATTGTCTTTGGGAAGCTTTGTCAGAAGATTCCTAGCGGAAATAGTCTGTAAGGATTAATATTACAAAAAAGACTTGTCTTTTGCCCTTACTCCTTCTTGAAGAGGAAAGAGAGGGGAAAATTAAAAAAAGAAAAGGTGTGAGAGATAAAAGGGGAAGGAAATTGTGTTTGAAAGCTGTCCCCAAGGCATCAAAGGAATAGGTAGAAATTTTTCGCAGATATTTCCATAATCCCTGGAGATTATGTCACCCAACAGCACAAGTTAAATAAGCATCTCCTAGATGTGAATTCCTGGCAGGTTTCACCCTATTCCTTTAAGTCTGAGGAGGAACTATGAGGGAAGGAGAGAGACTGACCAGGAATGAGTGGGGGAGGTATAGTGGGAGTGCCAGAGATCACTCAAAAAAAGTCCTTTTGTTCTTGCAGTACCATGTCTCGCAGGCGAGTTCTCTCGTACAGGTTTGACACCTTGCTACCCTTGTCCCAGAGACTACTATCAGCCAGACCCAGGGAAGTCCTACTGCTTGTCTTGTCCCTTTTATGGAACGACAACTGTCATTGGTGCCAGATCCATCACAGATTGTTCAAGTAAGTTGAATTAATTCTGCTGGAGAAAGTGAATAAAGGGAGCATGTAAAGGATGGCCAGGAGTACTCTTAACTGAAACATCTCACTTACTCTCCTAACAAATGCAGACCTCCCATTTCAGCCAGTGAAGTTCATAGCTGGTTTTGCCTACTGGTGTTGCCTCTGTGTTACATAGAAGGAAAGACTGTGTGATACGTACCAAGGCTCAGTAACAGAATACAATACAGAGTGTGTGTGTATATATGTATATATATTTATCTTTGTGTATATATCTACACATTGTAAAGGATGTGTATATATGTATGTGTGTATATATATATATGGATATATATATGTGTATATATATGTATATGTATATACTATAGAGTTATATACATATATAGAAATATATATGTATATATGTGTGTGTACACACATAAAATGTATTTTGTATGTACACACACGTCCATGTGTTTAGAAATATATGTGCTAACAAATACATATCTATGTATAATACATATAAAATACTACATGGTTACTGTAAAGTATGGTTTGTTCCTACAAACTCACTTTTTTCAGCTTATCTTTAGATGCATTGCTAACATGCAGTTACTATGCCCTCATGAAATAAGAAGGAACCTTGCCATATAGTATTATTAACAGTTCTTTCATATCTTTTTCTCTTTAGGTTTTGGCTCTACATTTTCAGCAGCTGAGGAAAGCATAGTTATGGTACCAGCTTCTCCAGAAAATATCCGCAAGCAGTACAAAGTCAGCAGTCAGGCAAGAACAAGATACATTTTCCAACATTATCTCAAATGAAAGGAAGAGTGCCCTATGCAGGAGTAAATTACTAAGGCCTTTTAAAATGTAATTGCTATGCTGAAGAAATCAGAGTGATAGTCATCAGAACAGCACTCAAACTCTTTTTGAAATCATCAAGCACTTCTGCTGAAAAAAAGGAGGCTGCATCAGCTATTGGCAATATTAAATTCTAGACTTGAGGCCATCACTTGATGTATGAAATATTTATTGCACTTATAAAATAAATGTAACATCCATGGAGAGGGTTCAGCCAATCTGTAAAAAGTACATTGACCACACTCACTCATCTGATGTCTTCTATATGCTGAATTCCAGAAAATGCTACCAGGCTTATGAGTCCCAGATGTAAAATCTTTGTTTTACTTATTGCAACAGAGATACACTAGAGAGGAGGCAAGCAGAACTCCCTTCTGCTGTGAGTACCCTGTTTGAAATACAGGCAAGTCCTCATATGATAGGAACTATGCCAGTGACAATGTTTGCCAGAGATGCTGTTTTACCACAACCATCTCTCCCACAGTCTGTGCCTCTGACAGGACTGCTTTGTTTTAATCTAAATATTGTGTACACAGGAGTAATGTTGACTGATGATAAATTTGGCCTGAACCATTATGTAACATAAGGACAGGTTAAAACATTATTTGCTGTGGTTTTAGTTGGCTGTTTACTGAAGAGCTTTGCTGAATTCAGGTTTAATATGTAAGAAAAAATAATGCCACACGGTGAGGTTCCACACAAGTTCACCTGGTGACCAGTAACAGAAAGCAATTAGCCAGAGTAAAAGGGTGCAAAGTGCAGAGCTCTGATAGAGAAGAAAGCATAATTTAAAATGCCACCTGTAAATCATAGCTAAGAAAGTTGTAAGGGAGGAACATGTAATGATCACATTTCAGTAAGTATAAGGTCATTTTAAAATAGTAATTCAGGTTTCTGGTTTTTTTTCTCTAGAGAAAACGAATAGCTGATCTGAAGAGACAAAGAGGAAGAGCTAGAATTTAATACCACTAACATTTTTCTCCCAGTTTTTCAAAGTGACTGTAGAGTGTGCAGTTTAGAATATTTTGTTCTACCTGTATTTCCACCTTTACTGTAATTGTTTATTTCTTGCTTCTGGCAGGTCTTTCATGAGTGTTTCCTGGAACCATGCCACAACAATGGGACATGCAAACAATTGGGAAGTGGATATATTTGCTTATGCCCACCTGGATATACAGGTAAAAAAATGAGCAGCTGGTGGGGGAGCTAACATGTCTCCATACCCTTAACATGAGCAAGGATAAAGGAGAAAAATATTTCAGTGCAAGAGCATAGCCTAACTAATTGGAATAGCCATCACAGGTTTACCATATGTAAGTATTAAGAAAATAAATAGTTCTTCATGTTATCTCTTAATTATATCATGTTTGGTAGAAAAGGATTTTGAATGGGGCTTCTTTCAGTGGTGTGAGCAGATCTGAAAATGCTATCACTTGGCAATATTTGTGATTGGTGAAACTGGATATTTGCACTCTAAACATCTAATTCCACTGGATCTGCCTGTATTCCTCTTCATTGTTAGCTTCCCAGATGCTTCTAAGGAAACAGAGGAGTTATTACTCAGCTATTAGCAAGAACTGATTTCTGTTACTTCTGATAGGTACTAAGTACCACTATCTGGAACTGAGCAGTCTGTTGCCCAGTGTCTATCGTGCCTTTCTAATAGCATTTTAAGTCTGTGTTAAAACACAACCTAAAGAGAAGATAATAAACCTGAATGCCTGGTCAGGTACACAGCCAATCACGTTTTCTTACGTTAAGTAGTCATGACTTCTGAACAATTTCAAATTTTGATGCCCTATTCCTATTCCTTTATTTTGCATTCTAGGCTTGAAATGTGAAACAGAGGTTTATGAGTGTAAATCATCTCCTTGTCAGAACAATGGAATGTGTAAAGATGGCATTGGGACCTTTGATTGCCATTGTCAACCCGGCTATTCAGGTAATTTGTTTCACTTCGTAACTCCTCTTCAGACAGTCATTGTTTCTGTGCCAGGTAGATAGCACAAAACATGAGTGGTATTTAAATCCACATTTGTGGATTATAACAGGAAAGCAACCTGATCTACAGGTTAGAGTAAGGTTCTACAGTATGTGAATATGTTTTGAAATAAAAGGATGAGTATTCAAGGTTAAGGACAGTCTGTATGTGTGTGTGTGCGTGTGTGCTCCTGTTTTGTGACATTTCTGGTCTGAATAAAAAGGAGTAAAGTTTAGGGAATTAATAAATACTCACAGAGAAGACGCTTGTGAGACTGAATATGACCTGACTAGACAAAAAATTCATGCAGTTGCGTTACAGCAGCCCTATGAGTAAGTGAGTGAGCTTTTTCTTACCTTTTTTTCTCAGTCCTTATAACTCTCACCCACATGCATGTTGAAGGTATTAAAATCTGTGAAGAAACTAACATGCTTGAGTACTTTGGCAGTACAGCACCTGTTTTCTAAATAATGGAATAAACTATTGAGGAGTTAATTCTGAGTGATTAAAAAAAACAGACCTGGTGTTTTCCACCCGAAATGGTCTCCCACATTTTTCATGCTTATGGCTATATCTTTATCAACAGCAACACTTGCTGTGTTTTTTTTAAACTTCATAAAGGCAAGCCATCTTTTTCACATCTTTCACATCCCAACATCTAAATAACAGAGGTGATCTCTGTAGGTGTTTACAGTAGTGCAGTCAGACATGGGATTTTATCACCTGATTTCAGTAGCCTGTTGTTATGCAAGCAGTATGGTGCTATTCTGTCTTCCACATTCAGTCAGTGCAGCATGCAAGCATTGACCATGTCCTGACAATTCCTTTTAACCCTTGTTGTTTTAAGGTCTCTTGTGTGAGGAAGACATAAATGAATGCAGCTCCAGTCCATGTTTGAATGGAGCACACTGTGTTGATGGCAAGAATGGTTACCACTGCACTTGTGCAAAAGGATTCACAGGTATGCCTTTTTCTGTTTAAGTCAACCTTCACTCTTTCTGACCAAAAAAAGATGTCTTCCTACCCTGTCCAAAGTATTTCGATCTCACTGCAGCATATTGCACGTGCTATGTGTTGATATTGATGTACTGGATTCCTTAGGTCCATGTAATCTCTTAGAGTCCCTGTAATTAATTTTAATTTAAAAATAAAAATATTGTAACAGTAAACAAAGTGGTCTCTATTAAAGCTGCTACCCATACCCACTCTTGGCTTTCTACTCTTTTCATAAATCACAGAATCATCATGGCTGGAAGGGATCTCTGAGATCACAAATTCCAACCATCAATACAAAAACAAACAAACAATAAAAGCAAACCAAACCAAAGAAACAGAACAAAAAACAGACAAAACCACCAGAGCCTCAGCCACTAGAGCATGCAGTGAAGTGCCACATCTACATGTTTCCTGAATACGTCCAGGGATGGTGACTCCACCACCTCCCTCGGCAGTCTGTTCCAGTGCCTGACCACTCTTACAGGATAGAAGTTCCTCCTAATACCCATTTTAAACCTCCCCTGGTGCAACATCAGGCCATTTCCTCTTGTCCTATTGTAATTTACTTTAGAGAAGAGACCAACACCCACCTCCCTACAAGTTCCTTTCAGGTAGTTCTAGAGGGTGATGAGGTCTCCCCTCAGCCTCCTCTTCAAACTAAACAACCCTAGTTCTCTCAGCTTCTCCTTGTGTAACTTGTTCTCTAGACCCTTCACCAGCTTCGTATCTCTGCTCTGGACATGCTCCAGCACCTCAAGATCTTTCTTATAGTGAGGGGCCCAGAACTGAACACAGGATTTGAGGTGCAGCCTCACCAGTGCCAACTACAGGGGCACGATCACTGCCCTAGTCCTGCTGGCCACACTATTCCTGATGCAGACCAAGATCCTATTTCCCTTCTCAACCACCTGGGCACACTGCTGGCTCATGTTAAGCCAGCTGTCAGCCAACACCCCCAGGTCCTTTTCTGCCAGACAGCTTTCCAGCCACTCTTCCCCAAGCCTGTAGCATTACATGGGGTTGTTGTG